ACAAGTCTGATTGCTTTGATATTACATATATAGGTACTACATGTGGACCTCTTTCAGATTTGTTAATTTCGTGGTGATATCTTCAATTATCTAATTTTGATGATTATTTTTGGTGAAAAGTGATATTTTTGAATTCTTGTTGAAAACAGCAAGTCCTGTTGCTTTGATACTATACATATTGTTCATTTTCTAATGATATCTTCTGTTCTTTAATTGCAATGTGCATTGCTAACAGCGGAGCTATCTCAGCCAGCAGGCTGCTTGTTAATAAAGCCATGTTGATTGACAGTAATATTGGGGCTAATGTGATTATACAAATGAGGAAAAATAACGGACTCAAAAATTCTGGCAAAAAGCGGTAACAAAGAAATTTGACGGTAGTTAACAACAGATTGTGAGCAGCTCGATTTAAAAATTGGGACAATATTGGCACATTTCAACTGAGAAGGGAAATGATCCAAATGTAAAGACTTTTGAAATATTATATGAAGGAGTATAGAGATAACATCAATACAGGGCTTAATAACACATGTGAATAGCGTCACAGAAATACAGACTCGCTTAGGTTTTCCGATGATGATACAATCACAACCTGTATACCATTTATTTCAAAACGACTCCAGTAAAAATACAGCGATAAGAAAATGTCCGACTGGAACAGGAGCGCAGTAAAAAACAGAAAATGAACTGCACGCGAGCAGAAGTTAAACAAACACTGTTTGGTCAATGCCAACGTAGGTGCGGACGTAGATTGACCCTAATTAACATAATTTATGCATTTCACTTGGATATCGGCAGTATCACCTTGACCACTGTGTGTTTCACTACTTTTCTTTCAACTGTTTATGATGACTTGACCACTGTGTGTTTCACTACTTTTCTTTCAACTATTTATGATGACTTGACCACTGTGTGTTTCACTACTTTTCTTTCAACTGTTTATGATGACATGACCACTGTGTGTTTCACTACTTTTCTTTCAACTGTTTATGATGACTTGACCACTGTGTGTTTCACTACTTTTCTTTTCAACTGTTTATGATGACTTGACCACTGTGTGTTTCACTACTTTTCTTTCAACTGTTTATGATGACTTGACCACTGTGTGTTTCACTACTTTTCTTTTAACTGTTTATGATGACTTGACCACTGTGTGTTTCACTACTTTTATTTATCTCATAGGTATATATTTAAGACATACCGGTATAGCAAACTGATGGTTCTTTTATTTAGAATTATTTTAACTCAAAACATGAATTACACAGGTATATTCAAGAAAGTGCAGTGTGTTATTTTATTTATAGTTCTGACCTTCTCAACATGGTATTTTGTGAGTTAAAATTATGAAAACTGAGAGTACTGGTTCTGACCTTCTCAACATGGTATTTTGTGAGTTAAAATTATGAAAACTGAGGGTACTAGCTGGTTCGTACAAACACAACTTGGTATCTTGTGAGTTGCAATTATGAAAACTGAGACTACTAGTTCTGACCAACACAACATTTTGTATCTTGCTAGTTAGAATTACAAAAACTGAGAGTACTGGATCTGACCAACACAACATTTTGTATCTTGATAGTTAGAATTACAAAAACTGACAGTACTTGTTCTGACCTTCTCAACTTGGTATTTTGGGAGTTAAAATTATGAAAACTGAGAGTACTGGTTCGTACCAACACAACTTGGTATCTCGTGAGTTGCAATTATGAAAACTGAGAGTACTAGTTCTGACCAACACAACATTTTGTATCTTGCTAGTTAGAATTACTGGTTCTGACCAACACAACATTTTGTATCTTGCTAGTTAGAATTACAAAAACTGAGAGTGCTGGATCTGACCAACACAACATTTTGTATCTTGATAGTTAGAATTACAAAAACTGAGAGTACTGGTTCTAACCAACACAACATTTTGTATCTTGATAGTTAGAATTACAAAAACTGAGAGTACTGGTTCTGACCAACACAACATTTTGTATCTTGCTAGTTAGAATTACTGGTTCTGACCATTTCAACTTTGTATCTTGCTAGTTACAATTGAGAAAACTGGGAGTACTGGTTTTAAAGGTTTCATTCTCCAAGCAAGACGAGCTGATTCTAGTGTAACCACACCCATTGGTACATTCCAGAATCCATCCACAACTACCAATGCTAAACTCATGGATTGTTTCTCAGTGGCTGATGTAAGTGTTGATTTCATACTTTGTAGGATTGGCCCTCAAATCCAAACTGACACATATGTTATATATAATATTATTAAAAGTAATGCAATGCAGTTTTAGTACACATCAGCAGTATTAAAACATAATATTTTGTTGTGCAGTTTTACTGGTACTAGCATTTTGGTTTACCAAGTCATTCATTGGCATAGAAAGTGCTTATAAGAAGTCTGAGATACCAAGTCATTTATCACCATAGCTGAAGCTGTATACGTAGATACAAATTCATTCATTGCCATAGAGGGAGCTGTATGCGTAGATACAAATTCATTCATTGCCATAGAGGGAGCTGTATAAGTATAGATTCAAATTCATTCATTGCCATAGAGGGAGCTGTATGCCTAGATACAAATTCATTCATTGCCATAGATGGTGTATAAGTATAGATTCAAATTCATTCATTGCCATAGAGGGAGCTGTATGCCTAGATACAAATTCATTCATTGCCATAGAGGGAGCTGTATGCCTAGATTCAAATTCATTCATTGCCATAGATGGTGAATAAGTATAGATTCAAATTCATTCATTGCCATAGAGGGAGCTGTATGCCTAGATACAAATTCATTTATTGCCATAGAGGGAGCTGTATGCCTAGATACAAATTCATTCATTGCCATAGATGGTGTATAAGTATAGATTCAAATTCATTCATTGCCATAGAGGGAGCTGTATGCCTAGATAAAAATTCATTCATTGCCATAGAGGGAGCTGTATGCCTAGATACAAATTCATTCATTC